TAAGTCAAATAATACTTTAGTAACAGTTATTGCTACAATGCTTAAATAGGCTTACAATAAAACTTTAATGAAGTAATTGACTTTTTGTAGGTTTTTTTTGTGGGATCCTCAGACTGTATCCAGAGAATCTATTATGTGTATTTATAAGGGCACTGCTTGTTTATTAATAAAGTTTATAAGTAAATGCCAGTTTTAACAAAATCTTCCATGTAGATATTTTTCTACATCACTCAAATGTTTTCACACCAAATGTACAGGAGCTCTTTAGAAGTTTTTGTTTTAGTGCTCTCTCCACCACAACAAACTGTTCACCAGATTTTAACATTGTAAATCTGCAAACATACCATTGGCTCACTGGAGGGACTTTTTAGAAGTAATTAGTGTCATCTCTAACTCATTTGCACTATCTCCCTCTCCAAAATAAATAATACCATGCAAACACCCCAATACCCTGATCATTTATTATGTGTGTAAAATTCCACTTCTGAATTTTAAAAACAGAAATTAAACAATAATATCAAGCAATGACGACTTAACTTTAATAAAATGGACCAAGCAGATGTATAATTACTGTGACAAAGACATCATATTCTGTAATATTGTACTTCAAAGAGTTTTGATTTATATTATTATCTAAATAAAGATATAGAGTACATGTAGGGTTGAGCCACTTTGGAAATTCGTGGTGAGAAAACAAGCCAATCATGAACAAAGAACACACAGTATAGTTTTTATCTTCTTAATTCATTTCCACTTTAGCAATTCGTAGGAGACAAAAATATTTCCTAAATAAAGGAAAGCAAACAATGTACCACCAAATCAGTCCAAAATGATATATTCATCACAGCATTTTCCAACCTCCCACAGTAATTCTCAGCAAGGTATGGTCAACAGTAGCACAGGACATAAATTCCTCTTCTGATTGTGAACATTCCTTACTTTAATTGGTTGTTTCATATTTTACACGATTAGCCTATCAAGCTACCTAAAAAAAAATATCAGAATGGGATAGAAATAACTTTATTTAAGAAGTGTCTTATAAAATAGGTTTATCCTGGTTTCCAAAATACAAGTTGCATTTTACATATTTATTGACAATGTTTTTGCTCTCAAAAAACAAACAAATTGGAGATTGCATGTAGCCTTGGAAGCATTTTGGTTGACTTTTCTCTCTTCACTATCACTTGGACTTTTTGCACCAACTAATAATGTGATAGTGATACCTGATGACTTGTATGACTGACAGACCACTCATGAATCTCAATGACAATAACTTCCCGACTCTTTCCTTCCAGGTTATGACCAATAAGGGATGTATTTGTAATGAACATTGGTATAGGTTTATGTACATGTATAGTCTAAAAATACAGTCCATCAACACAAAGCATTGGAACTGAAGCTGGGCTTCATAAAAGCTAAACTCCATAAAAACTGATTACTCTAGTCAAAAACTGGGCAGGGGCAACCTTATTCATGAAGCTAACAAGACCTATAATTAAAATGTTATTTTAATACTACCAGATGGTACACAGCATTCCCCAATACTTCATGCCAGAGTGTTTCCATAACTCTGGTTCCTGCACCTTGGTGGAGAGTACAGTGTATGAAGACCATAATGGCTATAGAGGATATAAACAGTAACTTGTCAGAGTTGGAGTTTCAGTCAAATTACACACAAAATTTTCTGTTAGGACAGGGTGTGTCAATGCTCTGAAGTCTGCAAAACACTAACGCTGAAATATCACTCTCAGTTTAATGAATTATTAGAGTGGGTCACTTAAACCATCAAGAAATTAGGAAGGTCAATTATACTTTTCGGAAATGATAATTAAGTAAGAACTATTAGTCCTGAAGACAGTATAATCACATTTTATCTGCTTCTTAAGGACAGCTCTGCACAAATGTTTAGGAGATCAGATTTTTTGGGGGAACAGCTAATGTCACTGTGGTCCCACTTCTCTTGTGCAACTTTATATGCACCAGTGTCTTAGTGCTCTAACTTTGAAACACTTGCTTAATCAGATCAAAGGTACAGAAGTACATTAGAACTGCAGCAGGAGACAAGTATGTAGTCAGAACTGGTTATCTGTAATTCATTTCATTACTTTCCTCATGAAAAAAGCTGTAAAAGCTTATAAGCCTTTGTTAACTTTAAGTAATTGTTTAATATTCAGTAGGTTGTTAAAAATCTCTTATATAACTTAAAACTTTGCAATAAGACAAGACATTTTAATACATCCATAATTATGATTTGAATGCCTTTTACAAACTGGTGAAGCATGATTATATTTGTCACAAGACATTAATATTAGATCTATATGCTTAAACACTACATTTTTTATTTAGTCTCTCAGGAATTTTTATTAATTAGTACATAAATAGTAATCTAACCACTGCTGTGTTTATTGTATCCCAGCCAGCCCAAAGAACTCTGGACTGAGTGTCACACATTATTGGCAATGAATACAGCAAACACAGTGCAGTTAGAATAATAGTATTATACATTTTTCTAATTCTTAAAAATTCCCAAGAGACTAGATAATGAATATTGTGTTTGGACATTTTAATACCTTTCATGCTCTAGTGAATTTGATCTTTTAATCTAATTTATATGGACAAAGTTAAAAGTATAAGCTCATGTGTATCAAACTTTATGACTTACCACCAAGATTTTATAGAAAAATGGGAGTTAAATGTGAACAATGTAAAAAAATAAATTCTGAAATAACAGCAATTAGAATTTCTTAAACTAGACCTCATCATATTACAGCATGCAGGAGTTTCACAGACACTACTGAACCAGATTTTACACACCCACACAATTTTACCAATAATAGCAAGCAGATGAATTTAAGAGTTCTAAGAAAGATACATAATCACAATTCTTCCAACTATAAGCCAGTTTGTGAAATTTGTTCAATTTTATTGAATAGCCTTGTAGATGTCATTTATACTAACACAAAACCAACAATAAAAACAAGTGGAAAAAAAAAGGTTTTATTGTTATAATACACAAAATATTACATCTCAATGAAAATATACAACCACAACCCTTCGACTGTATCTTCAAAACATATCGGTACTTAGGACATTTTAATATATATACATACACTATTCACAAGTGGGGTTTCTTCCCCACCTAAGGTTTTTATCAGTGTTGTTAAGTAGTTAAGCCTATGTTATATATCAGTGAAATGTAAATTGTAAAACCACCAAAAATACAATTCTTGAAAATGTCATATAAAAATAATGTTTTCATTCCTTCCAAGTATAGTCCTTTCTACCAAACAGCCTATTTAAAAACTAAGTTAACATAGTGAAATATTAGCATAGATCATTGACTAATTTGGCTATCAAATGTTGTACTAATTTGAAATCATGTAAAGATAATAAAGCTATTTTAGTATGCATTATTATAAACTTTCAAGTATCTTACATACCCCATGCAGTTTCTTTTATTATATTTAGGCTTTGCTTTGTTTCGTAAATGTTTAAAATCTTGTTCATACTTGAAAGGAATACAGTTTTTCATAAAAACATAAAATTTCATATATGAACATGATAGAAGACACAAAGAATGTTAAAATTACTTTTAAACTTATTTGGTCTTCAAAGGAATGGAATGTTGAATTCTGATGGCTCATTCAACTGTAACTCTTACTCACAGTGCAACAATACTTAAAAGTTTGATGTACCCTTAATCACAGGAAATAAAGTGTATGACAGTGACACTTTGCATCAGCTGAACTTATTTAACTTCTTCACACTAACTGTAACAAGAATTACTTTTACTATCAAAATGCAATGTTTAAAATTTCCAATGTTTGAAACAGATATGAAAATTCTAAAAAGGAGTAGTTTTACACTCATGTTGCTACAACAGTTCAATGCAATGTTACAAGTTGTGTGCTCGAATTTAAAACTAAACATTGGTGACATGAACAGAAACATTCCAATCTTTGGAAACAGTAACTAAGAGAATTTAAACCACTTATGAATTTAAGTAGTTTTCTTATTAATTACACATATGGTTGAAATTCGTTTTATCTTCATTACCTTGTTGTTTGCTCAAAATTGAAAAAAAAGAAAAGGAACAGTTTTCTACAATAATTAGAAGATAGAATTACCTTTTAGTCTTTGAAGGTACATTACTTATCAACATAAATGGCATTAGTAGCAATGTAAGTGGAATGTTTCTTTACTTGTGATTCACTCATTAAATGACTGAAGTCATGATTATAACAAAGGTTTTGAATGGATATCTATCTACATACTCAAACTTATAACTTAGAAAATGATTCAGTTTCTGTACACTGAATCCCAGCCTTTACAATAAATCACATACTCAAAATAACACTTAATTGAAATTCAAAAATGTGGGAATGCTACAAGTATTTTCAATATATTTGAGGAAAAATAAAAGGAACATACTTCAATTCCAGTTATTACCAATTTTCTCCAATACAAATGAGTGTTGATTTTAAATCATACAAGTTTTGTTCACTTCCCTTGTCAGATTTATAGAGGAATAGGGTAGGAAACATTATACTAAACATAATCAATGAATATTTTGGATTCACACAGATTTCTTTTCAACATATGGAAGTAAAAACAAACGAGAAAAGTACAAATCAAATATACACATGTGTGAATGTATACACATCCACACATAGTTTTGTCAGTGAATGATAAGTGCATTAACTTGAAAAGATAACAGCATGTTGATAGGAATACCTTTCCATTAGCAAGGTAATGGAAAGTAAAATGGCAACAGAAAAAAAGGTTAAAGTATTTGACCTGTCTTACATCACACTCATGGTCATTTTTAATTTTGCTGATGCAACTTTGTTTTTTTGTATATAGGTCATATAAATTTATTGATCTTACTGTGCAGGATGCTGTATTATGCTTAGAATTCAGCTCGATTCTAACACTGTTTGGAAAACCCAAAGTGTACACTATTTCTGTACATATATGGCACAGAACTGGTCATCGATACGTTTTTACAGATAATACTGAGAAAATACCAGCTCTACACTTGAGTAGCATCCTACACCTTTACATCTACATGAGATGGAGTCTTTTTTAAAACTACATTCATTTTACACAAGAACAAAATATGGAGTAAAGAAAAATAAGGGTTCTAAAAATGCAGTTTTACACATTGTTTATAAAACAGAGATTACTAAAACAAGGCACATGACATTTTAGGTATAAATACCAATATAGCTGTGATATCTAGGTAGTCCTTATGTAAAATGTAATTTTGTTGTTGTTGTTTTGTTTTGCATATAACGATGCAAAAAATTCTAAAATATATATATACAAGTATCCAAATCACTCTTTATAAAAATAAAGTTTGCACTCACACCTTGACACTGGTCATGCAGTATGTTAAACATCATAATCCTTTCAGTTTCTGTTTTTATGGAAGTGTCTTGAACCACTTCATTAAAAAGTCTTATAAGGCATGACAGTAGGAAATGCACAGACAAATAATATATAAGCACTGAAACTTTGGCTTGAACTTGAATGATTGAAAAAGTTAATTGTGCTCAGTTTAAAGCCTAATGAGTAAACTCAAACTGTTGTTTCACTTCTTCTGGTGTTCAAAGGTTGAAGTTCTCGTCTCAGTCGATCGTAGTCGTTGAAGAACTCGTGGTCATCACTGTCTTCCTCACTGCTTGTATTTTTACGAGGCACTGGTTGCGTGTTGACATAATCGTGGTCACGATTCATCAAGTGATATTCAAGATTGTCTAGCCCATTTGGCTGCCCATTCACTGGCACAAAATCTGGCACATAACGAGCATAATCGTGTGGCCTCATTGCTCCTTGATCTTTATCAAATACAGAAGAGAAAGAACAGGTATTAAAATTTAATAGTGAGACTGCATCAAGATCAACAAAAAAAGTTTATAAAACGTTGGCCCATCTTCATTAATTTTTTGGGATATATTACTAAGCATCAATTTTATTTCATACGAGGGTTTGCAGAATGGCAATGATTAAAAATATATCACCCTCATACAAGAAGAACACCTACAAGTATACTGTTATACCTAAGTGTAAAAACTATCACATACAAAACATCATTAAAAGTTCACACAAGATGCAATATTTTAGTCTATCATGAATACTTAATAAAAACAAAACAAAAAAAAAATTCAGTTAAAGAAATGATTAAAACAAATTTTAAATTATTATCTAGCTGAAGAACCTGATCTACCTGATATTTTAGTATCCCCAATCAAGTCCATATACCCTCCTGTAAGGCCATACGGCCGTGGCGAAGGCATCAGATAATCATCTTCGTCCACTGGTAACTCCAGCCGATGATCTCCTTCCTTGATGCCTTTTGGTAATGTAGCACTATTGTGTATGAAAGCATCATCATCACCCTCTTCTCCTGGGTAGAGATAATTTCATTTATTATTTTTCAACAATGATCATCTTGTTATAAATTTTAATCTATTTGCTAACTATTCAATTTGAGTTTTTCAGAAATCTGGAATAACCAAAATAAAGTTACTTAGCTATTATATGATGAAAATATCGTTTTTTTTTATATATATTAATGGGCATGAGACAGTGAGTATAATCCACACAAATTCAAACTATCAATTTTTATAGGCTCTTATAGTATCAGAACTAAGGCCAGATTATTAAAATGATACAAATTTCTCAATGTTATTCTTTCGCATTTTGGTAATTGAAAAATAATTATTCCTGAAAACACTTCTATTTGAAAAGATAGTTTTTTCTTCTAACTCATAATTGTACAGCTTTGTAAAAAAAAGAAAAAATTAAGTTAATTGGTCTCAGGCTTTCAAGTAACTAAAACTTACCTTTCCCAAATACTTTTAGAGGATCTGGACAATATCGGCCAGAATTAACACTATTTTCTCGTACACGATTGTTTGGGGAATTAGTAATAGCTGCTTCGAGGTGGGCATATTTGCAGTCTGGCCTGTTGATTCTTGTCTGTAAGGACTGGTTATTTGTATTGGCCACTAGATCACTGTCAAAACCTCGATCTTCCATAAATTTCTAATTAGTGAAAATAGTATTTCAGATCTTAGAACAGATCACCAAAACTTTCTAAAACAAAGGGGGCACTATTGGTTCAAACTAATATTGTGAAATAAGTGTTACAAACTGTAGAAATTCTTACATAACTTGACCAAAGAGTTCAATGCTCTAACAAGATGTATACAACTTATTGCTGAATTCATAATAAAAGGTTACTGACATCTGGGTACAGACATTAGAACTGCAATTAAAACTTGACAACAGAGTAGGTAAAGGGATATAGAAACATTTTTAAATTACATTACTTTATGCCATATTTAGTACATATAACTGATTTTCTTTGCCTGTACCAAAATATATTCAATGTTCTTAATTAGTATATTAAAATTTAATGTTAAATATCATTTGATTCTAAGTGAAAAACCAAATTCTAGAGTAATTTTTCAATTAAGTTTAATGTTACATATTATAATAATTAATAGCTTCAAATACAAATTAATAATCTTCCAGGCAACAGTGCACATACTAAACGTGACCAACTGAGGCAGTGCATAGTGTACATACTAAACGCGACCAACTGAGGCAGTGCATAGTGTACATACTAAACGCAACCAACTGTGGAAGTGCATAGTGTACATACTAAACGCAACCAACTGTGGAAGTGCATAGTGTACATACTAAACGCAACCAACTGTGGAAGTGCATAGTGTTCATACTAAACGCAACCAACTGTGGAAGTGCCATTTGTTCCAAAATGCAATGCTCACACTCCATTTTCTAAAAATCATAGGTACCACATTTTTTAACTTCCAATATATAACTTTCACGAGAGTCACACACCTACTTACAATGTAAGTAGATCATAGTCAAAGATGTACTTGTCTGGCCAGTACTTTGTTAAACACCTTCAGACGCTGAAGATGTACTTGTCTGGCCAGTACTTTGTTAAACACCTTCAGACGCTGAAGATGTACTTGTCTGGCCAGTACTTTGTTAAACACCTTCAGACGCTGAAGATGTACTTGTCTGGCCAGTACTTTGTTAAACACCTTCACACGCTGAAGATGTACTTGTCGGGACTTCATTAAACACCTTCATACTATACTTTATTTTCTTTAAGCATAAAATAACCTGCCAAACATCATTTTAAAAGTTATAACAAGTAAATAAAAGTTGAATTTTAAAAATACAAAATCTTGTTTTCTGTATTTAGCTACCTTGACTGGAGTGAGTGGAGGAGGAGTATCAGAGTTATTTTGCTGTAGTTTTGGCTGCAAGTACTCTTCAGCGTCCATGATAACTTCTGGACCTTCAATGGGCATGCTCAACGTACGGATCAACTCCTTTTCATCTTGGGGAGTGTAGCTTGGGAGTCGCATCAATTTGTCACCAGGTACAAACAAGTATCTTCCAGGATCTCGGGCCATTTTGGCAAACTCTTCTGACAACTCTTTGAAGGAGGGTCGAGATTCTGCATCTAACATCCAGCCTACAAGGTGGGGTGGGGGGAGAAAGAAGAGATTGAAACTGTCAGCATTTAAAATAGACTTAAATGACACTTAAGTGATAACTTATGAAATATCTCTATGAACAGCTTTATACTCAAAAATCACATTTTATATATATATATAACTACTTTTGATGAATATTATAGGGAACAATCAAGTTTGATTCTAGCAACTGAATTTCAATTATATAAGCACTAATCCTTCTCGATGCTATTTCCCAAGAGATCAAATGTATTTGGTAGATTGCAGAATCTTTATTTATTCTGCGGTTTTTGTTTCAAATGAGAATGATCATCTGCGATATCTAAAAAACAAAAAAGAACTTTATCTCATAAAACTAATTTTTGTGAGATTGATTACTTCTGACATCATCATAAATTTTAAATGATTTAATGCCATCAGGTCATTATTTATTTATCAAGTACTCTACTATTTTTATTGAAATTAAGAGAGAAACAAACTAATTTATCCATGTAAGTAACACTATAATGCTTATCTTTGGAAAAAAAACAAACTTACATTTGATCATGATCATGTAGACATCAATAGTACAGATGGTGGGCTGAGGCAAACGTTCACCTTTTTCAAGTAAGTCAGGAACTTCTCTAGCAGGTACATTCTCGTATGGTCGGCCACCATAGGTCAGCAATTCCCATACTGTTACACCTATATACAAACCTATTTTACTAATTTCTCTAAAATAAAGGTACCACTTTTCCTTTCTTGAGAAAATAGATGCATGTAAATATAAATTAGAGGGAACAATGAGGGACTTTATATTTCAACACGTTGTTTGGAAAACATCCGGCATAACAATACTTTTTTGTAATCTAAGTTTCAAATGGACAGCAACTGCTTGTTGTAGAAACTTTCAAAATGTCATCCTCTACATATGTAGGTTTCTACAACTGACAGTTGCTGTCCATTTGAAACTTAGATTCATTATGAATACTCTGCCTAAACAACCTATAAAAGATTACTTTTTTTTTTTTTTTTTTT